CCACTACCTCAGATGCAAGGATTATTCATATCCCTTCAGTATCTTGCAGCTAGGCTTCAAGCAAGGGAATCTGCATGACAGCGGAGCTCCTGCGGGGGAACCTGAAGCTTCGACCGTACCTTTTCTGAAAAAGCCTGCCAGCAAATCACCACAGGTCAGATCTCACTTCGGGGAGAGGTCGTTCGAGCTGCTCGTTGAAGGCCAGGCCATGTGAGGAAAGCATGTCCTGCTCGTCGTGCATCGTGGCAGATTGTGGCGCTGAGTATTGGCATAGGCTCTTGAAGGTTTGGGTCGTCTCACCTGGTTTGGTTATGTGTTGTTGAGGCTCAAGTTTGAATGTGCTCAGGGTTCATCTGGACAGGCATCGGCGGACGGAATGTCCGCTTCGCGTGCTACAAAACCCACGGAGAGTTGAAGCGTCTCGGAATTTCTTGGAGCTGTGACGTTTTTGGGATGTCTGGGGTTGGCTTGCAAGGTTTTGCCAGGTCTTGCCTGCCTTTCCCTTCCCTATCGAGGCCCGAGGAATGCAAGCACGTGGTGCGCGCGAATCGGGTGAACCTGATCCTGCGGAAGGCAGTTCTTCCGCATGCTTAGAACGACAGAACGGTCAGAACAGCGCGTTCTTCAAGCCACACATTCTACACGGTCCCCTGAATCTAAAGAGCGTCCGGCTCAAGCCGCCGGCCCGCAGCTTCAGCGTCCGGGAGCTTTGCAGCGTGTGTGGGGGGGGGGGGGGGGGGGGCGAGATTAAAGGATAACACTACCAGTTGGAGGAGACCAAAGCCTACAGAGTTTGGCGACCCCCTCAGGGGGCGCCTGTCTATTTTTGATTTTTCCCAAAAGGTGAGAGATAAAATCATGAAAAAAACCACGAAATCATTGGGCAATCACATATGAAAGCAATCAGTGTTGCAAAAACGAAGTAAATTTGTTTATACAAGCTCCTGGTGTAGGGAATTATGCGGCCCACAACACATAAAAGTCATGAGGAAACCACGAAATCACTGGACAACCACACATGTGAAGGGAATTCCGTGGCTCGGAACACCTAATCATAATCAACCGGAGAAACCATGAAATCACTGCGTAACCACATGTGAAAACAATCAATGTTGCAGAAACGAAGTAAATTGAAGCGGTTGTGATATCACGGTTTCAGGTTTGCCCTCAAACCAACAGCAGTTGCGACATCTCGGTTTGTGGTTCCCCTTTTGGTTGTACGGGGGGGAGGGGGGGTGGGGGGTTTGGGGCTCGGTAGGAGGTAAAGGGGTTTTTGGCGTTTCACCTCCAAAACCCATGCCAGGGTCGGCGGACCCTAAACCCTAAACCCTAAACCCCCATACTGCACATCTTGCGCTTCAAGGGGGGCTCACAAGGGTCAATGATCACATCAGGCGAAGGAAAAAGACCACTGGTTCGACCTCTTCAAGAAGCGTGCCATTGGGGACGACGACGACCCGTGAGCCAAGCCAGAAACGTTTGCATCCAGTGTTGAGAGAGGTGAAGCCGCTAAAGCTCCAAAGTTTGTCCTACAACCTGTGTGCCCTAAACTCGAGAGCTCCAGAGAATTGTAATGTTCAATTCAACCAGCCGAGCCAGAAGTGCATGACAACCGAAAGACTTCTCACCTATGAAAGGCCCGGACAGAAGCTGCTTCAAGGTTTGGGGAGTGTTTTGGCGAGTCTAGGGCTCGTGAGTTCCCAACGAAACTAGGTTGCAGGTTCTGGGAGCAACTCCGAAGTCCTTCCAAAAAACTTTGAATCCTCCCATGTTGCCATCAGAGACCATCTAGCTTCATCGGTGCGACTGAATGTGGCCTTTTCTTGGCTGACCCCTCCAACTATAGGTTTTGCGAAGATGCCGTGGCAGAACAACTCATTGAACGTGTGTGAAGTATGGGCGTTATGTTCGAACCATCATGTTTGTGGAGTAATCAACTATTGTGGCTTTGGAACTGAGCGTTTTCCGATTGTTGGGCGGTTCTAGATGGCGCATAGCTTGTGCGGATTCAGGCCCCACAACAAAAGAGGAAGAATCCATTCTAAACGCCATTGTCGCTGGGCTGGAGGAGCATACAGGACAACAGGGTTCATCGCCGCAAATTTGGCTGGACAGGCTTGTCTTTTGAATCAACATCTTGTTGCGGCCGGGGATGTGCGAACCAGCACGAAACAATGCTCAGCAGCAACAGTGCAGGACCACGGCATTCAGACCGAGTTGCAATCCAGGTTCAAGTTCAAGACGATGTTACAAAACCCGACCAAAGGAGAATTACCTGTTGCCGCTTCTTCAAGCCTTATCTCGCAGGCTGCAACATAAAATTCAATCATGCATTCTTGAAGCCAAGAGTTTCAGAACATCGAAGCTCTCGTACCTTCGTAGGTTTTGGAACCATCTGCTTTGGCCTTCTTTCATCCTTGCCTCCATGGCTGATGGCTGGCACAATCTCGAGGTTCGTGGCATGGTCGGTGGCCAGTGGGATGCGCTTCGTTGTCTTGGCTTGGGGTTCAGCAATTCTTGGCAAACAAGATTACTGGGTCTCCAGTACATTGCTTTTCAGATCAAGTTCATGTTGGCCCATCATGAAGGGGCTGAAACAAGGTTGCTCTTGCAACAAAATGATGATTCAAGGGTTCCCTTGGTTCGGTTCACACTACATGTGCGAGACCTAGATGCACACTCGAAGAAGTTGACCATCTTCATATCATGAACCCTTTCAGGTTGTCCACCCAAAAAGCCAATGGGCTGTTGCCTCCAAAGTCCTGAAGGGACAAGGCTCAGGTGTCTTTCCGCAAAATGGCTTTTGAATTGACCAAGCTTGCTTGCATTTTCCAATGTCATCGATTTTACAAACACGGGAGTTGAAAACTGGTCGATGTTGTAGCCGTTTTCGCAGCTCGGGCATGCACTCGGCAAACCCAGGTTTTGTTTTTCTCCCATCCACCCACCTACCCCACCTACAGTTCGACATCGCGCACATTGCGCAAGGCCTTGCGAGCAGTCTGCCGTGGTTTCGGGCCCCTTTGCTTTACAGAGGTTGATTTACATGTTTAACATCACCCCTGTGCCTGAATTCACGAGCACCGTCAGTACCCAAAAGCCCAGACTCAGTCTCATAGTTCACCACCTTCTACCGTTCTCGATGCCCCATCTTAGCAATGCAGGCTCCTCGTTCGCCTGGAATCTTCGACCCTCAACCCTCAACACTCTCGAAGACCTTCAGGCTTGCGTGCAGGTGGGCTCCTAACACCCTGTGCTGAGGTGACTTGAGCGCTGCTTAGGGCTTCACCTCAGTTTGTCGAACCCAGGCAGCTGCTCGCAAGCAGATGAACTGCGGCGGGCTTCAAGCATTCGCAGCGAAGGCTGGACATCTGTGAGTGAGCTCATGAGCTCCCCCTTCGTAACCCACGGTAAACGTTAGTAACTGCAGTGCTTCGGTGTGCTGGTTCGACCTCACTATGATTTAGTTTCAATCTGTTCTTCCCGTTTCCAAGGCATCAGAAATCCAGCGAAACCAGAACCAAATCGGAGGACTTAACCAGAAGCGCGGTCACGAAACAGTGAGGGCCCTGATCAGAAAATGCCGGGCCGACTGCAAACAAAACAAAAAAGCCCCAACCACTATGACGGCAGTCTCGACGTTTCCAGGCTGCCCACAAGTGCAGAATATGTATCTTTAAGCACCATTCCAAGCACAACATCCTCTCGTTTGGTGGAAGCATTCAACCAGCACTCAGGACTTTGAGAGTTCGAAGATGTTCGAGCTCGAATATTTGAAAGATTGCAGAGTTCTAATTTAGAAAATTCGAACGTTGTCAAACTTTCAAGTTTCGAAAACCTCAACCTTCATACGTTACGTTCGAACGTTCAAAGATTCAAAAACTCAGCTTGACTACTTCCGCGCAAATTCGATGTCCAAACTTTCGTGATCTCTATTTTAAAAAGTTCGAACTTTGAAAGTTTGGAGTTTTAAAGTTTGACCGTTTGATAGTTTCGAGTTTCGAGTTTGAGGTCATGCGAAACAAGACGAGTTCGGAAATCCGCTCCCTGTGAGTTTGAGGGTTTCTCGCGGTTTCAAAGCAGCTGGCAGCTCGGTGCGCTTCTGCCTCGGCGGCCTAAGGGCTGTCGCGGGATACAGGGATGTTAAAATCTTCAGGACTAAGCACTAAGGGCCTAGAACCTTAACCCTAAAATCTGAAGACGTAAACACCAAAACCCGACCCTACACTCGTAAGACTTAAAGACTCAACTTTGCCCCTATAGTTCACAAATCTTCAGGCTTAAACACGAAACGCACCTGGAGTCGTATGGCTTGAGCAAACTTCAGCCCTTAACCCTCAAAGTCTTGACACTGAAACATCAAAAAGCCCTCAACCCTAAAGCCGTAAAAAAGCTTAAGCACCCATATCATGAAGCCCTTGACCCTGAGATCTCAAGACTGAAGCACCAAAACCTTAAGCCAACCAAATCATCAGACCGTTAACCCTAAAACCTGAAGGCTTCAGGCACCCAAGCCATGAAGCCCCTAACCCTAAAACCTTCGTTTAGGCTTAAAGCCTTAATCCTAAAATCATAGGGTTTAAACACCAAAATCCGAAGCCTCAAACCCCAAAACCTTAAGGTATAAACGCCAAACCTTTCAGGCGTTCACCCGAAAATCTTAAGGCTGAGCATCAATCCCCTAAGCTCGCATCCCCTTGTGATGCAAAAAGCCTAAACGGCAAGATCCAAAACCCCAAACCCTGAGTTCTTAAGACCAGGCGCCGGAACCTTAGCTCAAAAAAATGGTTAAGATTTGAGCACCAGTATCTTAAGCTCTTCGCCCAAAAATCTGAAGACTTATACCCTAAGCCCCGTATGCCAGTAACCTCAAAGTCTTCAGGCCCAGACACCAAAGGCCTAGACCCTCAAATCTAAAATCCTAAGACATAAACACCAAAGCCCTAAGCTCTTAACCCCAAGATCGTAAGACTTAAATACTGCCTTAGCCCTGAAACTTTAGGGCCTTAGGGTTTGAACACCAAGTTCTAAAGACCTTGACCCTAAAGTCGTAAGGCCTGTGCACCAAAACTCAGCCCTTAACCCTAAATCTTGACACTGAAGCACCAAAACCGGAAGTCCTTAACTCTGAAACCTTAAAGCTTAAACACCCATATGAAGGCTTTTTTAGGCGCCCAAACCATCAAGCCAAAATCGCAACTAAGGCCCAAACGCAAAATCTTAGACCCTTGACCCAAAGGCCGTCGGTCTCCCAAAATCCTGAGCCCTGAACCCCAAAACCTTAAGATTTAAACACCAAAATCTTCGGTTGTTAGCCCGAAACTCTCAGAGCACGAGTTCCCTAAGCTCTCATCACTGTGATCGAAAAGGCCTAAACATCAAAACACAGAGCCCTGAACCCCGAATTCTCAGGAACCATGAACCCTTAACCCGAAAGTCGTCAAGATTTGACAATTTGAGCACCAATATCTTCAACACTCACTCCATCCTAAAATATGAAGACTTATGCACCAATACCCTAAGACAAATAAGCGCCGAAGGTGTAGAGCCTTAACCCTAAAATCCTGTGACACAAACCCCCCACTCCCCCCCCCCCCACCCCCCCCCCCCCCCCCCCCCGCCCCCATCCCCCCCCAGCTGACGTGCTGGCGCACGAATGCCCGAAGAACGTGTTTCGGGGTTGGGGCGTCTGCGCCGCGTGACATTTGCGACAGTCGATGCGTGCTGCCAAACTCTCAAACTTTCAAACCCATGCTGTTCGAACTTCCAAACTGCCACTAGCGCAGACTATGTAAGTATCAAACTTTTCGTGATCGAGTGTCGTCAAGCTTCAAAGTTTGAGCCTTCGAGCTTTCAGACTCACACGGCTTTCAAACTTTCAACTCCGAACCTTCCTTCAAGCTCTCAATCTCTGATGCTTTGAAGCTCTCGAGCTTTGAACTCTCAAACTCCAAAGCCTCTCGAACTCCAAACTCAACCTCGCTGAAGCTTTCACACTCGAAGCCCGGTCCTGTCGTGTTTGCCTTGGGTTCAGGGATTAGGCTTCAAACTTTCAAACTCGATCTCGTTTCCGACTTTCGAGCTCCAAACTCTTTCAAACTTTCGAACTCCGGGCCGTTCGTGGTTTTCATTCTTAAAAGTTCGAAACTTTCAAACTCGGAAGTAGCAATGGCCTTTTATCGTTTCAACTCTCAAAATTTAAAATTTTGAAAAAAGTACTCGTGACTCCTATCGGAATGCGTGCCCCATGCCCATGGATTCACTATGATTCTTTTCAGGGGCTTTGATGCACACAAAATTATTTATGATGGCCCAGCAAACCAGAATGGCCGGCCCAGATGTGCGTGTTGTCCGTCCCACACTTCCAGTGGAAGTGTCTAAACGTGTGTAACTGAAACGAATATGTGTAGACTGTGCAGCGTTTGTATGTTTTGGGTTTGAAGCACTCAAATGCGCTTACCCA